AACTCAACACTCTAAGGTTAAATGAGGTTAAATGAAGTTAAATCTTGTCTCAATTGACTTTCATCAAGAGGTCATGACCATCCTGATGTTCATTTGAATCCAGCTCTTGACTGCTGTGCCGTGACTTTCCATTATGATGAGAATATTACTTTGAGTTAGATGAAGAACTCAATGCTGAATGCAAATTAAGGCAAAATTTTAGCATGAGTATTTTAGTTTTCTAAGTTCACTCAAACTAAAGGGAAACTTAGTTAATATCAAATCAAATTTTATTTTGTATTATAATAAAGTTCGGATATAACGCGCGCTGTCATTGGTTGAAAGAGCGTGCTCTATGAGAGTATAGAGCATAGAGCTGAGCTAAAGCTGTCACGCCATCTGCCAACTTGTACTATGTTCCACCTTTTCCGGGACTTCTTTTTAGCTTTTTTCCGATAATTGAAAGTGAAATTTCGCAACAAGTAGGCAAGTAGCAACAGAAGAACCAAACAAAGGTTTGTAAACATACCAGGCGCCGTAATTTACGTTATTAAAATGTGAGCAGATACGAAAATCCTCAAAAGGAAAAACAAAATAGGCATTCTGAGTTTTAAAGATTTTCAAGCTCAGTTAGATTGCAAGCTTACGTACGGTAATAAAAATCAAACACAGCTAACACTCATATAGTATATAAAGTTCAGTGTTCAAAAACAAAACAGAAAAAAACAGAACAAAACAGAAATGATGAAAAATATAACCAAACTGGCATAACTGTTAAAATTCATACTAATCACGAAGGTTTCTGAGCGAATATGATCATGCTGAAGTCCATCGCGGCTCGCTCATCATGGCGATCCCGGTCATCACTGTAAAGCAAGCTTCAGAAGCTACATCGGCCGCCCTTCGAGTGAAAAAATAAGAGCTTGCTCTGATATCCTTTCCGATGCGTTGAGTGGAAAGTCACATCAGTCACTGCAGCCGAGTTTTGCGGTGCTGTCGTCCCGAGCGATTTTCATGTTCCGGTGAATTCGGCCCTCGTTCATTCAAAAAACACTCGCCTTGAACAGTTTGTTTTCTACCTTGTCATGTGAAAGAACTCGCGTGTTTTTGTGAGCCATAATTCGGCTGAAGTTCATTGAAAATTTCACTTCAAGATTCTGTATTAGTGACTTAAAAACTTCAGGAAAAAGTGTTAAATTCGACCTGCCGAACTATTTTAGTTTGTAAACTATCGCAGATTGTGAACTTTGATGGTTTTTGAACTTTGATGGTTTGACACTTTTGACAGCTTTTGTGTTGTACAGCCAATCAGATTATTTGAACCATTCTAACAGGGATTCTGATTGGCTGATTGTAGCGTGCTTTATGAGAGTATAGAGCATGCTGACGACACTGTTGTTCGCTTTGGAAATAAAGTTTGTTTTGAAAATTGAAAGTAATTCTTGGGGAATTTAACAGATTCTTTATTACAAAACAAATAGAGAAGCCTTGACTGTGCTCTGTTCTGTTATAAAGCACTTAGGAAGCGGCTAGAGCACTCAAGAAGTGGGAAGAAACACCCGAATACGTCTCGTGTTTCTCCCTACACTTCTTTCGTGCTCTAGCCGCTTCCTAAGTGCTTTATAACAGAACAGAGCACAGTCAAGGCTTCTCTATTTGTTAATTATGATCGAAGTTGAAATTTAACCTGGTTCTAAAAAGGTTTTAAAACTAAAAAATGTACTATAATTATAAAAATTATAAAAAGATGGGTTTATTTTTCTATTTTCACATTGCATGTCTTATATTTTATTTCTATCTCTTAGTGATTTTGTGTGGGAATTGTCAGCTGCAATTTAAATGTTCTTAGAAGTTTCAATTATCAAAAGCTAATCTAGCTGAAACCTAATAGGGCCTGTTCATTCTTTCCCTTCAGTTTTTTGGTTTTGTTTTGTTTTCTGGTCTGTAATGATTTAGCTTTCAATGGCTTCCTTTTCTTTTCTTGGAATTGAGCTATAGTAATTATTTGCTTCTTCGTGTTGTTGCCTACAGGAGCCATTGCCTGTGTTAAACTAAAGAAATTTAAAGAAGCAATCACTTGGTGTGATAAGGGATTAGCTGTATCCTTTCAAGTAATCTTTAATTGTTTACCATGGGTATGATGGAAATACTCCATAATTTGACGTTTCAATGGAGAAAATACAAAGAAGGGTATTAATTACGATGGCAACTTTTCATCTCATACTTTTAGTGTGTGTGAGTAAAAAATGCCACAACTGGTACTTTAGTTTAGTTAAAAGACTAATATTCACCCAGTGTATACATATGTGGATAGATGATCTCTCTAAAACGAGTCAGAAAAAGATGCTTGGCAATGCTTATATATATTATATTGATTTTCTTGCCTTTAGATTTTTTTTTTCACGACTCAGAAACTCGGAAACTTTCATTGTATTTTCCTATGGGCAAATATAACTTTGAAAGGCACATATCTGTGTTTTAGAGTCATTTCTTTCATTGCTGTAAAATGTTAGTCTGAACTTAAAGATGTATTAATTTAAAAATCAAGCAAGTGCTTCCCAAGTTTTGGAAACAAGGGGTGAAAATTTCAGGTTACACGCAGTGGAAAACTTTTTGTAATGCGTAGATTTACTTCGTACCTGACTTTAAGACTGATTGTTTATTAAACTGACATCTACCTGAACACAAGCCTTCCTGATAAGCCATTTTACAATTGTTTACTTAGTTTCCAGGCCTTTGATTTGGAGTGAGGCTGAAGATAACCTTGTTGAGAGAGATCAATATCTAGTAGGCATAATTGCAAAGTAATTTGCATTTGAAAAGCAGTAATGTTGTATCATAACAAGGTAACCCTTAGCCACACTCCTGTTAAAGGGCTTGGGAACCAAGCACGCAACTGTAAAAATGGACTATCAAATATTAATCCAGAAAAATGATCTTTTTTGTTTTTTCTACATTTTTAAACCTTAACATAAAAAAGATTGACAACAATAATAGGATTTTGTTGTCATTAAGACTTCAGTCTCTCAGAGAAGTGGGGGATAAGTCCGTGGATGAAAAAGATCACATTAGCTATGACCATGTTGGTCCAAGTTCAGGTGATGTCAAGAAGGTCATTGACTTCTATAACTGGGAAGCCAAGCATCGGGAGGGTAACATGTATTGCAATCTTGGCAATGCTAATATCAATCTGGGTAATTTCAAAAAAGCCATAGAGTACCACAACCTACATCTTAAAATAGCTAAAGAAGTAGGAGACAAGCATGGGGAGGGTAACGCTTATGGCAATCTTGGCAATGCTTATGACAGTCTAGGCGATTTCAAAAAAGCCATAGAGTACCACAATCTATATCTTAAAATAGTTCAAGAAGTAGGAGACAAGCATGGGGAGGGTGGTGCTTATGGCAACCTTGGTATTGCTAATTGCAGATTGGGTGATTTAAAAAAGGCCATAGAGTTCCACAACCTAAGTCTTAAAATACTTAAAGAAGTAGGAGACAAGCATGGGGAGGGTAAGGCTTATGGCAATCTTGGCGTTGCTTATAAAAGACTGGGTGATTTAAAAAAAGCCATAAAGTATCACAACCTACATCTTAAAATAGCTAAAGACGTAGGAGACAAGCATGAAGAGGGTAAAGCTTATTGCAATCTTGGCGTTGCTTATAAAAGACTGGGTGATTTAAAAAAAGCCATAAAGTATCACAACCTACATCTTAAAATAGCTGAAGAAGTAGGAGACAAGCATGGAGAGGGTAACGCTTATTGCAATCTTGGCAATGCTAATTACAAACTAGGTGATTTCAAAAAAGCCATCGAGTACCACCACCTACATCTTAAAATAGCTAAAGAAATAGGAGACAAGCATGGGGAGGGTGGTGCTTACGGAAATCTTGGCAATGCTTATTACAGTCTAAGTGATTTCAAAAAAGCCATAGAGTACCACAACCTACATCTTAAAATAGCTAAAGAAGTAGGAGACAAGTATGGGGAGGGTGGTGCTTACGGCAATCTTGGCAGTGCTTATTACAGTCTGGGTGATTTCAAAAACGCCATAGAGTTCCACAACCTAAATCTTAAAGTAGCTAAAGAAGTAGGAGACAAGCATGGGGAAAGCAACACCTATGGCAATCTTAGCAATGCTAATTACAAACTGGGTAATTTCAAAAAAGCCATGGAGTACCAAAACCTACATCTTAAAATAGTTAAAGAAGTAGGAGACAAGCATGGGGAGGGTGTTGCTTATGGCAATCTTGGCAATGCTAATTACCTTTTGGGTGATTTCAAAAAGGCCCTAGAGTACCACAAGCTACATCTTGAGATGATTAAAGAAGTAGGAGACAAGAATAGGGAGGGTTGTGCTTATGGCAATCTTGGCAATGATTATTACGGTATGGGTGATTTAAAAAAAGCCATAGAGTACCACAACCTACATCTTAAAATAAGTAAAGAAGTAGGAAACAAGCAAGGGGAGGGTCATGTTTATGGTAATCTTGGCAAAATGTATCAAACTCTGGGAGATTTGAAAAAGGCCGACGAGTCGTACAAGCTAATGCTCGAAACTGCCAAAGAGGTCGCAGACAAATTCTTGGAGGCAACGGCTTATTATTCATTAGGATGCGTTTCTGAGTTGCTGGGTCGACTGCCCAAAGCCGTTGAACATTACCAAGCTAGCATAACCTTATTCAATTCCTTGAGAGTACTTCTAAAATCTAAAGATGAATGGAAAGTTAATTTTCGAAATCAGTATCAAATTGCGTACACAGGTTTGTGGAGAGTTCTAGTAGAACAAGGTAATATGGATGAAGCCTTGCTTGCTGCTGAGAAGGGACGAGCTCAAGCTCTGACCGATCTTATGGAATTCCGTTTTTGTGGTGGAACAAGTCAGCACAAGAAAGGAGATGAAGATTTAGCGGTTTTAAAAGACGTTCCATTAAACACTGTCTTTCAAGCAGTGGACGGAGCTAGCGTCAGTCTTTGGGTTGTGTCCGAAGGAAAACAAGTTCAGTTAAGACAATGTAAACTGAATAGTTCTGTTTCAGGGAACAGTGGAGCCAGCCAGTCCTTTAAGTCGTTCATACTCGGTGTCTATACACAACTTGGTGTTCGTTCTAATGTGAGATGCGAGAATCGATCTTTGGATGCTTTGAGGGAGAACCGTTCAAAAGTGGATGAGAAAACTAAAGAAGACAACTCTCAACCTTCCATCGAATGCTTAAGCACTTTGTATGATACCGTCATGAAGCCAGTGGCTGACCTGCTTCAAGGGGATGAGTTACTCATTATTCCCGATGGACCCCTGTGGCTCGTTCCTTACGCCGCACTCAAGGATGGTAATTCTAAATATCTGTGTGAATCGTTCAGAATCCGACTCGCTCCATCGTTAACAAGTCTTAGACTCATTGCCGATTGCCCAGATGATTATCACAAAAGCAGTGGTGCTTTACTAGTAGGGGATCCGTGGGTAGCCGAGGTTACTAACAGTAAGGGAGAGATACTCCTCGAGCAGCTTCCGTGTGCTAAAGAAGAAGTAGAAATGATCGGAAAAATTCTGAATATCACGCCAATCACTGGCAGACAGGCCACGAAACGTGAGGTGTTGAAAAGACTCAGTTCCGTTTCCTTAGTTCACTTTGCGGCACACGGATGGATGGAAACTGGCGAAATTGCTCTGACACCTGACCCACACCGAAGATCTACTGTGCCAACGGAGGAGGATTACATTTTAACAATTGGAGATGTGTTGAATGTTCAACTTCGCGCCAAACTTGTTGTGCTTAGTTGCTGCCACAGTGGTCGGGGCGAGATCAAGGCTGAAGGTGTGGTTGGCATTGCGCGCGCTTTTATGGGGGCTGGTGCTCGGTCTGTTGTGGTGTCCCTGTGGGCGATCGATGACGAGGCTACTCTCGAGTTAATGAAATGCTTTTATCAAAACCTTGCAAAAGGTAAACCTGCAAGCGAATCACTGAACCTGTCCATGAAAAGCCTCAGAGAATCAGACAAGTTCCGTGACATCAAATACTGGGCGCCTTTTTTTCTAATTGGAGATGACGTCACTCTTGACTTCATGGCAAAGGAAATATAAAATCACATAAATGAAAAACGCTTTTCTTTTCATCTCAAGAGAAAAAGAATGTAGGAACGTGGAAGGGTACGCGTTTTTCTATTTTGGCAATTTTTGGCAATTTTTAAAAACTATTTTACTTTTTGCGAAATAGAACTTGAGATGTGTAACTTTACTTTCATGAAGAAATAAAAACACGCTTTCATTATATTTTGATCAGTGGAATTGTCTTTTTTTCTTACCTTAGCAAATTTAAATGTTTGCGAAGAGAACGAAATGTAACGAGGCTTCTGCTATGAGTGCCTGCAGTAGTTGCAGGTAATTACGGGGTTTTCGTTTTCGCCAAAATAACAGTTAGCTCTAATCCTGCATTACAAATAGTTGTATGCAAAACAATTTAAAGGGTTTTTTTTCCTTGTACATTACCAGGCGCTTCTCCACTGGGTTTTAATTACGTTTACATTCTAAGCTTTTAGTAAGCAAAGAAACTTCGTCATTGCAAAAGTTGGCGAAATGTTTATTTCCAAAAATTTTATTTGCAAAATTTGCAGCAAAATGTCATTTAAACTTGGATGAATTTTCTACATCATAAATTACTTTGGTACAACTTGAGATTATCTTTAGGAAAATAAATTGATTATTCTCTTTTTTAATCCATTTAAATGTAATCTAATTCTATCACTGCCAAGATTGCCATTCTAAGCTTAATTTAAAAAAGTAACCATCAGAGGCGATGGGTTACTGACCATATTTTTGAGACATTAGACCTGCCTCTAGGGGTGTAGCCAGCCTCTTGTCCCGTAGGCCCGGCCTACAATTGTTTTTCGCCTGCTTGATTGTTATAATATGACTCTTGCAAGTTTTGAAACTAAAATTGAACTCTCTTAAGGAACAGGTCTAGAGCAAATTAAAATGCTGGCTACAACCCCGTTTTTAACTAAATGAGTTTGGTCAATTTTAGTCCGTTTTATCAAACACCTATCTCTTCGTTTTAAAGAACCACGGCAGAGAGGTAAATAATTGTCCTTATAATCTAAACAAGGAAACAGCGAAGCAGATTTCACTTTTAATTTATGTGACACGGAATTTGTTGTTTCTAGTAGAAAATATTTACACCCATAAATGAGAGAAGCAATTATTTTAGTGAAATGGTTCGTAAATAAATGGAAACCCAGTCCGTAGTTGAAAAGGTTCAGGGCTTCGGGAGAGAACTTTCAAATTTTGAAAATTCCCTCTTCAAATTATTTTCTGTGCTTTAAATTTACCCTAGTATAATATGAAGATATCTTCCTTATATTTAAGAATTTTTACTTAGGTTTTCAGAGCACGCTCTGAAATTGGACTCCATTATGTGGTCAAAAGTTTAAGATATACTGTATCACAGCTGTTTTAGAAGAAATTTTTGTAAAATCAATCAATGATTTTGCAGATTTTCGTAACTACCATTGATTTATGCTGGTATAAAATGTAATAGTTAACCTTGCGCATGGTTGATTATGATGTAACGTAGGATTTTAAAAAGACAAGCTGGAACAATTTTAACTAAAGATGCTTTGTATAATGTCAGTGTATTTCGTGTGAAGTGTGTTGATGCTATTTTTGTTTACAGTTGAAGGTAATTATTCATTTACCTTAGTTTAATCAACTCATGAACTCCGAAGTTCTAAAGAAAAATTCTCCCAACTGACAAGAATGAGTTTCTTTGTTGCATCATTCCGAGAATTTGTTGTAACATTACGTTTCGGGCAAAAAATTATCGTCCAGTTTAGATTTTCTCTAGTTCTTATTGAAACCATCTTTGTCGGTGTATTAATTTTGTGAGGAGAATTTAAATTATGATCAATCTTGGGAGTAAATGGGTTCATTTTAGTGTCTCCTTCTAGCGCGTATTTTACTTAAAGCCTTGGCAATGAAATGCAGTTTCTATTGTAATGAACTTTTTCTTACTTCTTTGTGTAAGAGAAGTGCACAGTATATAAAATAAAAAAAACTGCGGTGGTTTTCATTGTGTGTTTCCATATTCTAAGGATTCACGTGAGATGCTGAGAGAACAGATCTTATGGGGACTTCAATCCTTGTTTTGACCCACATGTACCAAGTTCACAATCTGTGCAGGTCACTGAGTACTAACTTTCTATGTTTCAAGCCCCCACCCACTTAACAAACGCGCGTCGTCTCTTTGATTGAATCTCTTCCACTGTCCATCGTTCTCCATATTGTCACACGGTTTAGAACGCCGACGGACGTGTTTATACTGTTACATGTGTGCACCTTTTTTACCTTTTTCCTCACATAAGTTTTTACACCTTTTCACATCTGTGTATCGCTTTTTTCTCCTTCCTTTGGTTCCTCTCTTTTCTCTATCGTACTTTTCCTCTATCCCATCTTTACGCGCACTACTTTCATCGGCCTTAAATTTTATTTTTCTGGGCGCTTCATTAGACGCGACTATCTCCTTGTCTGTTTCAGTTTTCATTCGTCTCAATCCTCGCGTAACGTCAGGCTTCTTTCAACTCATGTACCTCCTTACCCCCCTCCTCTCCCCCCCCCCACCCACTCAGAGTAGTTGTTATCATGCCTATTTTTTGTCCGTATTAGGATGGTGTCCTCTTGACGTCATCTCTAGTGAAATCTCGGTTTTCCTTTCAATTGATTCCCGGTCCACAGGGGTCGGGTGCCGGTGTTTGCTCTCCTCAATCCTCTCTTTACAGTTGCAGTTATAAAGCGGAGCAGTTGCAGTTATAGAGCTCTCTCCAAGTCTTCGCGACGTAATCGATGCATTTTGTTGGAAACGAGTCCGTCAATGTCCAAATGAAGGCTTCTACTGATTGGGAATGGGTCAAACTCTCGTCCAGGGTCCACCTACATCACGAATCCAAGATGGCGGCAGGCCAATCTATGGACGACTTCACAGGGTCGGTGGCCGCCATCTTGGATGTAGACCCCGAGAAGACCGTTGGAAAGAGTTTGAACAAAATAATTAAGAAAGATTAAGTGACTGTAATACTTCCTAAGAGGCAGTCGATAACAACTTGCGGGATTCATTATGAGCAAACATGTTCCATCAATTATGTTTCCCTTAGACATACAAACAGGTTTAAGTCCTGCTAATCCAATTCCATTTCATTTTTATTACTGAGACTCATAATATTTTTATTTGCTTGCTCTTTTTGTCGCGTACATGTTTAAACGGAACTAGTTCAGTGTTTAAACCAATAAAAGGTGAGGTTGATTCAAAGGTTTTGCGCATCCTCAATGCACTAATTTACTGTGCATAATCATCTTGAAGAGCGATTAACTCCAGGATGCGCCATAAATATTCGTGTCAATCAGGAGACTCTTAGGCGAGAGTCATCGTTTATTACTCTTGAGATGGCCGAGTGAATGTGGTCAACTTTGCAGGAGTGAATCAGAGCTCTAGCGATGAAACAATCAATTGCTTCTAACCTTACCTGAACTGATTAAAAAGGATCTTTACATTCAATATTTCACTTACTTATACCATAAAGGAATGAACAATATGTATACATATCAAACTCATGGGGTACATGTAGTGACCACGCCCACTTCAACGCCCCACTCAAATCGAGTGTAATTTTCGAATGTTTTACCATCGTGCGGATTCTCCACGGAAAAAGCACTCAATGTACCTCTGAAATATTAAGCTATAATATTGTGGCTTTCTATTTCGCTAATTTTCTAACTTGAAGGTAGAGTTTTTCCCTCGTCATTTTTGCCTTTTCTCCGAGCGGTTACGTCAAATTAACGAGGCGTTTTTGATCAAAACACGACCGAGCGGAGGGTCTCGGGCGATATCTCTTTTACGCAGGCGTATTTTAAAAATGTACCGCCAGAATAAAAAAGAAGAACAAATTTCCTTTGTTTTGATATGTAAAGTGTCGAACAAAAAGCAGGTTTACCCTCGTCAAATGGCGTTTCAGAACAGCTGTATCTTCCTCCTTTTGATTTTTTCCTGTTTTGTAAGCGTGAAAGCAGTAGGAGAGGGATCGGGAAACACAGAAAGCGCTTCGGAAATTAATCTGCCATCGTTTAATTACAAGATGAACAAGTAAGATTTGTGAAGTTCGTTGAAGTTTGAAGTCTAAATAAATGCCTTTTTTAAGCTTGTTTGCTGGATTTTTCGTAAACTTCCCTGATCAATTTTTCGTTTCAGCTTACAAATCTATACTATTTCAAAGCAAGGCAAAGACGAAGACGGAGAACCATGAGTCGGTCCTCTCAACAAGGTAAACAAAGTGTTTGAGCAATCAGGTATACGAGCAGTAATAATCAATAGCCGCATATCAGAAGTCTTCAGAAAGAAAATATTCTGTCTTCAGAAAGCTGTCAAGAAAACTAGTAATCGTAATGGAAGGCAATTAAATGCACTTCTTAGCAAGTTGGAAACGGGCCCTCGGTATCGATCTAATATCATATCGATCTCAATATCATACAGTTTTGTATCTTTTTTCCTTGGATTCGCCTTTCTAACGGGGGTTGAGTATTCGTTGCAAAATCGCTTTGTTTTTTCTATTTCCCTCTTTGGTCTGTTCGCAACGGAGAGCATGCGCATTACGTGGGGTTAGTGGTTGCGTACACCTGGAACCGAGAAAAACAAATGTTCGTCGCACTGGGGAAAGAGTTTGATATGTTTCGCCGTAGAAAGAAATGAAAAGAAGTATATGGACAGTTTCACTGTTTGCAGTGATTCAGGCAACAACTCAACTAACAAGTTGTTCAATCAATTGATTTATGCATACGGTATTTCACTTTCGTCAAACGCTTAAACATTAATTCATAAGCTCAAATTCCGTCATAAAAAGTACACGAATCTGGAAGGAAACCGCTTTGTATGGAACATGAACTCGAAAGACTGGGAAAGAAAGGGAATCTGGTTTCAAAAAAGGGTCTAAATATCTTGAAATTTTCCTCTTAAGAAATGGCAATCGGAAAATACATCTAACTAATGTTTACAAGGGTTGTCTTAGCTGAGGAGTATCTTTGAGCAGTTTCCTTCCCAA